TGAACCCACAGAGGGAGGTCCCCATGCAGGGCAAGCCCAGGGCTGGGTGGCATTGAGTCAGCAGGTGCCAGGTTCATGGTCGGGTCCTTCTGTTTTTCAAGCTGTGTGGCCTTGGCATGGGACTTCCCCTCTAAGCCTCAGTTTGCCAGTCTGCTAAGTGGGCTGATAAGATGCCACTTCCTATGACTACAGAGAGGATTGAGGAGCAGGCAGAGCATGGGGAACAGGTGGGGTGCCCAACACCAGAGCAGTTGCCTAGTTGCCTTGGCATCTGTTGACTCCACTGAGTGCCACTCATCGCTGCGCTGTGCAGTGAAGGGTGACCCAAGCCAGCCCCAGGAGGGCACACAACACCCCCCCCAACCCCCCCTGCCAGGGACAGGCATTTTCACACGGGCTCTCCACCAGAGACTGATGGTGTCGGAAAAGGCCAGACCCTGCTGGGCCATGGAGATGGTGTGGGGCCAGTTTTGTCCTGTCATTGGGGCTGAGGGCAGAGCCCAGGTGGGAGAAGAAGGAGCCTCTCAGACTGCAGTAAGGGACATAGAAGAGGGACGAGAGAGAGAGAGAGAGAGAGAGAGAGAGAGAGAGAGAGAGCTGCAGGCAAGGTACTGGGGTTCGATCCCCGGCACCCTGTAGAGTCTCCTGAGCTGGAACTCCGCCCAGCATGATTCCTGAGCTGGTTGTCTGTCCCCCTCCCGAACCACCTGTCTCACAACACACAAACAAACCCTAGAAGCCGCTGATGAACTTTCAGCAGACTTGGGTTGGGGTTCACCAGGGGAGACCCAGCAATAGTGACCACAGTACCCTCTGCCCTGGCCTGTTCCCTACCATCATACATACAGGGGTCCCCTGGTGCTCACTGGGTGTGATTTTTTTTTTTTGTGGGGGGGAGGCCACAGATGGATCTGGTGGGAGGGATGTTCTCTAAACCCTCTGGCATGGATAGTGAATTTGCATACAACTGCTAAACTGCATAATTTTAGTACTCTTACATGTTTGTGGGGTTGTTGCATTATTTTTGTTCGTTCGGGTATGTAATGCATGATATTTGATATGTTCCCTTTTGTACGCTTAAAGTGTATAGCCTGCTACTTTGATAAATTTGTGATAAATTTGCAGGTAGCCATTGAAGCAATATTTATCGGATTACTTTACAAAAGTACAGTGCTGTTTATAGTCATTCATCCATGCAGTAGATCACAGTAAAATATTTAGAAATACATTTTTAAAAATTTTAAAAAATTCAATTCCCCTCTGGCTTGCCTTGGACCCCTCTTAGTCTGCTGCGGGAACATTGAGTTCTCATACCTTGGAGTCGGTGAAAGTGACCATCCCCACCAAGTCACCAAAACAGGTGACTTCAGGAAAAATCTAGGTTAACCTCTGACCCTACGAGCCCCACCTTGGCTGTCCTGTCCAAACAGGGCCCTCCACGCCCGCTACCCCCTGCCCAGATGAGACCCACCTTGGCTGTCCTGTCCAAACAGGGCCCCCCACGCCCCCCACCCTCTGCCCAGACCCAGTAGAGTCCTTTAGTCTCCAGACCTGCTGGTGGTTTGCATGTTTCCGGTCCAAGTTGTTTCTAGGTTCATTTGCCAAGTGCCTGCCCCTCTCCCCTCTGCCTTCATCTTTTTTATCCCACTGTGGGTCAGGAAAGCAGCCTGGGAGTACTCGGTGGGTCCATCAGAAACGAGAGCCAACATCCTATTGGTGTTGTCACACCGGTAGTGCTCAGGGCTGACTCCTGGCTCTGTGCTCCTGGTGATACTCCAGGGATTAAGCTGAAATTGACTTTGTGCAATGTATAAACTCTTTAGGGGCAGCTGGGGGGACCCTGACAGCTCTTCCCCTACCTGCCTGCATTTGGGGTGGACCCAGGCCACTCCTCCAGCCAGGGCAGCCTGGACCCTGGGGCAGAGGGCAGAGGAAAAGAGGGCCAAGCAGGTTGATTGATCAGATGCTGTTTATTCCTTTCTCCCCACGCGACTGCCCCAGTCTCTCTAAGCCTCCCATTCTAGTCTCACACTCTGCTCCTCATTCCCGTCTCCCGCTGTCTCTCCCGCTCATCATTCCACGCTCCGTCTCACAGCCTGGGCTCTCTCTCTCTCTCTCTCTCTCTCTCTCTCTCTCTCTCTCTCTCTCTCTCTCTCTCTCTCCACGTGCCTGCTTCTGTATTCTTCTACATTCGTCTCTCTCTGTCCCCCATGCTATTCTCTCCGGGGTCCATCTTGCCACCCTGCTTTCTCTCTCTCTCCAGCTCTCTTGTCTTTCCAACTCCTCAGCACCCTGGGCTGACAAGGCACTCAGTCAGGTAGCAAAATCAACATAAGAAAGCCCTTCCTGAGGGCCCCCCAAGTTCAGAGGGAACACCACCTAAGAGGTATTCCAAATCCCTTCCTGACTGCCCAAGGGCAAAATACCTCCTAAGGTGTTTCTCTCCTTTCCTCAGTCCAATAACTCTATCAACATCTCAATACTAGTTATTTTTGTATGGACACAGTAGGAGATAACATGGAGGCTTGTAGGGCAGCTCTCCTGGGAACATCTTGCCACAGACTCAGACTTCAGCACTCAAGCCAGATTAATCATTCCTAACCCTAGCAGGGTCTGAATCTAATTATTACTTTTTGGATTATGACCGCATTTGTCCATGACCAAGCTCTTAACTTATAGTTAAGCATTATGGTGCTTTGGCCAGGCCCATCTCGTTGCCAGGGTAGCACATAGCTTACTTCATGCCCTGGTTCCATCCAGTCCCTATTCAGGACCCTGCTTTTGGGGGTGCTAGGAAGTAAAGGCAGCTGAGGCTTAGGTGAGAGAACAGATGTCCAGAAGGGAAATATCACTGAGAGTCATGTTACAAAAGCATAGCATATACTGTCTTCTTGTGTCCATACAAAAAGGACATTGCTCTGAATAAACTATGCAAAGGACTTGGGGAGAAAAACAAAAACAATATTTGCAAGTCAACAGAGCACAAAGAAAGAAGTTACAAAAAAAAAACAGGAATGGGAGCACTGTGATGGGAGCAACCCAATAAACCTAAACTACCTGAGGCTATGCAGGAAGGACTAAACAGTTTTATCCTACAGTGCAAGCCAGGCGCCTGACTCCTGAACTATTTCTCAGACCCCAAGCATCTTATTTTGAGCCATTCAGATTTCACAGAGACTTAGAATTGGGAGACTTGACCACGTGGGGAAGAATCCTGCCCTGTCACCAACTTGTGACATACTTGAGTGAGATTCTGGACTCCTTTGTCCCTCAGTTTCCTCTGTGCTAAGTGAGTAGGAAGGGCTAGAGCCATAGTACAGCAGGTAGGGCATTTTCCCTGCAAGCAGCCAACCCGAATTTGATGCCCGGCACCCCATGTGGTCCCAGAAGCACCACCAGGAGTGATTCCTGGGTGCAGAGCCAGGAGTAACCCCTGAGCATCACTGGGTGTGACACTTCCCCACAAAAAATCTGCTCTGCCCTCCTGAAGCTATTACAGAGGGAGGAAATGGGTCTTGTAGGAAGGGGTCTGGCTCACACAAGGTGCTCAGTTAGCATTTGCTGTTATTCCATCGATCAGCTATGTGGCAGAGTCATGAACTGTAGTGATGACCGGAAACTGGACATAGGAAAGAGACGGAAAAGATCTTCCCATGCACTCAATTCCCTGGGGAGTCTGGCAGGACTTGGCCGGTGCCGTGGCTGGGAGTGCCTGTGACTGCTGCTTGGAGTGTGGCTCTAGCCTTAGTTGAGGTGGTTTCCACCTTATGTTGGTGGCATAATACTGCACTGAATAAATGAAATAAATTGCCAAACATCTATTGTCTCTGTATCTTCATGCTTTTAATTTTTTTCTTTTGGGGTCACACCAGGCAGTGCACAGGGGTTACTCCTGGCTCTGCACTCGGGAATTACTCCTGGCAGTGTTTGGGGGGACCATATGGGATGCTGGGAATTGAACCCGGGTCGGCCGCGTGCAAGGCAAACGCCCTACCTGTTGTGCTATCGCTCCAGCCCCTGTCACTGTCACTGTCACTGTCCTCCCGTTGTTCATTGATTTGCTCGAGCAGGCCCAGTAACGTCTCCATTGGAGACTTTGTTGTTGCTGTGCTTGGCATATCGAATACATCACGGGTAGCTTGCCAGGCTCTGCCGTGCGGGCGAGATACTCTCGGTAGCTTGCCGGACTCTCCGAGAGGGGCGGAGGAATCGAACTCGGGTCGGCCATGTTGGCTGCATATAAGGCAAACGCCCTACCACTGTGCTATCACTCCAGCCCCTGTATCTTCATGCTTTTCAAATGTTGCTTCTGGATGCTTTAGATTATAAACGAGCTTTGTCTTCCATTTCTATGGAATGGCATTGCCTTAAATGCGGCATTATTAGTAAAATACCCGTCTGTGATCATCTGTAATCTGGTGAGCAAGCCACATTCAGTTTTTCTTCTTTGGGTGGATTGGGAGAGGGAACGCCCAGCAATTGCTTGGGGACTTCTCCTGTCTCCTGTCAGAGCTCAGGAAACATGCTGTACCTGGGCTTGAACCCAGGACTCCCACATGCATCTCAGATCCCATTGAGCCATCTCAGTGACTGAGCTCAGATTAGCCATTTTTTTAATGAGCTCAATAGGGGGAATGATGACTCGCTTATAGCAGAGGGAGTTCAAGCACTGGGGCAAGAACAACGGCGAGGCAGGCTTCTGCCGACGTGGAAAGGCTTGGGAGAAAACACTACCATTTATAGTTATAGTGGCCTCCAACTTTCAGCACTCCCGGAGCTGATGAGAGAGCACTCTCTATTCAGGAAGTCGAAATATGTCAGCAAAAAAAAAAAAAAAAAAAAAAAAAATCTCTCCCTATCCCATCAGGAGCCAGAGAAGTTTGGGCTGATCTTCTTTAAGTCAAGGAATAAATGTGCAACACGATGGCACATCTCTAGGGACCCCAAGCACGCCCCGTAGGCATGTTGAACTGATGGTGGTTCCTTCCATTCTATTTCAGGTTCTTTCCATCACTTGGGACCCGGAAACCGGACCACGCAGCATCCTACTGGTGAGTTCTCTTTCCTTTCTAGATCCAAGTGACGAGCCGACATTATTTTTGAAATGATATTCGCACTTCTAAGTTCACCGCATCTCGCCCACCGTTATAATTAGATGTCTATTTATTCACGCTACTTTCCCCCCCTCTCTGAATGATTTGAATGTTTCTGTGCCTTCGGAACAACACACTGATCCATGTTCTTGTGTTTAGACATGATCAGGAAGGAGATCTATGAGTCTATGCCAAATAGGTTAAAGTAAAAACTTTTTTTGGGAGGGGGGGTAAGGAAACTATTTTCAGGCCTCTGTTGACAGTTTGCTCATTGCAAGCAGTATCCAAAACAACAGAGTTCCCCAAGCCAAGGAATTCAGACAGTCTCACGCAATGAGTGGTCATGAAAGCGCGCGTCACTGTCCACAGAGGCGCTTTCTCGTTGCTCTCTTTTTTTTCTCTCTTCTCGGAAATGGGATTGTTGTACAATGACATTTCTGCAGGGATAGCAAACTTCCTTTCCCGTTAGGAACGTGGTTTACTTTGCCAGCGGAAGTTTCTGGGCTTCCTGTAGCATTCCCCCCTGGAGAGTTCAGCAGTGCTGTTCATTGCCTTGTGTATCGGTTCGCATTTGCTGCATAACAAACCACCCCGAAATGCGCTGACTTGAAATAATGGTCATTTCTTTATCCTAAAAGTCTCTGGGCTGGTACCAGGGCTGGGCTGGGCTCCATTGTGTGACACTTCTGGTTTCTGCAGTATCTGCGGTCCGGGCAGGTTGGGGCATCGAACCTGCCGGAATGATGACAGTGACTGAGAACTGAATTTTACCATCCTGTATGCTGCCCTTTGCCCTTTCACATGGTGGGCAGGGGGTGGGCGGTAAGGGGTAGGGTATTAGGAGAAAAGGCAGAAGCATCTATATATATATATATATATATATATATATATATGCTAGGAGTACTGTAGAAGTTCAACCATTGATTAAGCTGATTGAATTGGGCATGAACTCCACATTCCTTTTTTTTTAATTGTATCACCATGAGATAGAGTTACAAAGCTTTCATGTTTGAGAGTCAGCCATACAATGATGAAACACCCATCCCTCCACCAGTGCACATTCTCCACCACCCACATCCCGGTCCTCACCCTGCCTCTATGGCAGACAGTTTTCCCAATATTCTCTCTCTCGTTTTGGGCATTATGTTTTGCTCTAAACTTCCTACCACCATTCAAGCCTACCTGCCAGGGGCAGATGCTAGATAATTTATCTTCCATTAGTCATTTTGAAGATCATGAGAGCGTGCGTGGCCGTGATTATAAATGTGAGTTTCTAGATTGTAAATGGTTGGGTTCCAGAGAGAGCTCTGTATGGCACTAATCCCTTTTGGGATTCAACTGGGAGAGTCTATCTGGGCCAGGGTTGTTGGTGCGCTAAAATGGCACCTGGAGGTAAATTGTGGGCATAACAGCCAGTCTGCTGGGTGGGCCGGGACCCGGAGAGGGGCAACCGCATCCTCAAGGCAGAATCATCTTGAGTGCTGGTACTATTTTGGTATTTTACAATCTTCTTAAAAATATTTTAAAATTTGAAAAAACTGTAAAGGTAAAGGTAAAGGTAAAGGCCCTCCCGTTGTTTGTCGATTTGCTCGCGTGGGCCCAGTAACATCTCCATTGGAGACTTTGTTGTTACTGTGTTTGGCATATCGAACACATCACGGGTAGCTTGCCAGGCTCTGCCGTGCAGGCAAGATACTCTCGGTAGCTTGCCGGGCTCTCCGAGAGGGGCGGAAGAATCGAACTCGGGTTGGCCATGTTGGCTGCGTGCAAGGCAAACGCCCTACCGCTGTGCTATCGCTCCAGCCCCTGAAAAAACTGTAAATCTATTCAATTCTTCCCATGTGTCTGATTCCATGGAGAGCCTTTGTTGAGGTGGTTTTGAAGTATGTACGAAGTATTGTACTAATGGCACTACACCACTCTCTCCAGCCCCATGATTTGATTTTTAAAAAGTGTTTTGGATATACTTGATAGATATCAAATAATTTGATGGGACTTATTTTTTAATGTGAATGTTAATTTTTCAGTTCTTAAAATGGAATTGGAGTGCCTTTCAGAGCAGGACTCTGCAGTTACTAATGTTATGAAAGGGGGCAGCCCTGTGGCAGGTGGGAGGATGTTGGGAGCCATGAATTGGGGCAGCCTCGCGGTGGGCCGCGGGGTGTCGGAAGCCAAGGAGGGACCCAGCAGGGTGTCGTTGGGCTCAGGTATGGCATGACCTGGTGGAAAACATTGTACTAGTGGTGCCGAGGTGCATACAGATGAGTGTCAGCCCATGCCCACCCCCCCAAGCCCCCCATGCCTGTAGAGTCAGCTGAGACCTACAAAAAGAGCCGATGTTCTTATGCCCCCAAGCACCATGAGCACCTGCCCCCCCTTTGGGTTATTCCTTTGGTTTTTCCTTCTTCTCGGGCCCTGCCAAAACATACTCAACCAGAGACAGAAAATGCATCCGTGGCTACCAGCCATTGCCAATGTCAAACACAGTCCTGTGGCAGGGGGCAGTGTCTGGGGGAGGAGCATAGCCCCTAGGGGTGGGGTGCTTGTGGCTGGACCATCCTTAGGATGGAAGGATGCAGGACAGGGAAGGACCAGGAAGGGAGGGGGTAGGTGGGTGGAACTGATCTGGTCCAAGTCTCTCCCTCTGTCTACTCACAAGGTGCCCCCACAGAAGGCAGCAGTGGCCAGCCTCGGTCCCAAGGCCTCCCTGACCATTGGTTTCTAACCGTTTTCATGGTTGGGATCCAGTGATGGTGGCCCAGACTCACCCGACACCAGAGCCACGTCCTACTGTGTCTGCGGTTGGGTTGGGCTGGTCAGGAAGGCTGGAAGGACATTGGGGCCCTCAAGTGCCCTCCAGGTAACTCGGCCCGGTACTGCTGGGCTCACTGTCTTCTGCCAGCTGCTAGGGTGGCTTTTATTTTTTTATGTTTTTTTTTTAAATTTTTATTAGTGAAACACCATGAGGTATAGTTTTAGACTTACAAATATTTGTGCTTGGGTTTGTTATACAATGATCAAGTACCCATCCCTCCACCAGTGCCCATTCTCCACCACCACTGATCCCAGTATCCCTCCCACCCCCCATCTCCCCCATCCCACCCTGCCTCTGTGGCAGGGCATTCCCTTTTGTTCTCTCTCTCCCTTTGGGTGCTGAGGTTTGCAAAAGAGGCATTGAGTGGCAATCATGTTCGGTCTATAGTCTACTTTCAGCATGCTTCTCCCATTCTGGGAGGATCCTCCCAAAACCCTTTACTTGGTGTTCCCTTCTCTATCTGAGCTGCCTTTTCCCCTAGCATGTGCGGCTAGCCTTCAAGTCATGGAGTGAACCTCCTGGTACTTATCTCAACTATTCTTGGATGTTAGTCTCCTATTTTGTTACTTTATATTGCCCCGATGAATGCAATCTTTCTACGTCCCTCTCTTTCTGACTCATTTCACTTAGCATGATACTTTCCATGTAGTACCACTTGTATGTAAATTTCATGACTTCATCTTTTCCAATAGCTGCAAAGTGTTCCATTGTGTAGATGTACCAAAGTTTCTTTAACCAGTCATCTGTTCTCCGGCACTCAGGATTTTCCAAATTTTGTCTATTGTGAACAGTGCAGCAATGAACATAGAAGTACTCATCCACAACGCCGCGATTCCAAAGACTCAGATAGACTTGGTGGGTGAAGACATGTCAGAAGTGACATTAAATTAGAGCCCCCTGCAGGGGTCAGGGACTAGAGCCCAGCGCCACGGGCAGGGGTCAAAGGTTACAGCCCCGTGTGGGGGGTTCTGGGTGAGTGCTCTGAGGGGGTCAGGCCTGGACCTTCTGAGCAGTTGGCACTGCAGAGAAAATGCAGTCGCGTGCCCATTTTCAGTGTCTGGAAGGAAAAGACTGCGTGCAAGCAGGGAAAGGGGTCCCGGCATGAAGAAAGGCAGACTATGGCACCAGAGGAGGGACAGTGATAGAGTTCACTGTTGGTGAGTCTCAATTTGGGTCTCGGAACCCGGACGGTTTAAATCAGGGATCATCAGGCTGTGCTGGTCACCAGTGTCTCACTTCGTGTGCAGGGGGTCAGGCAGGCAACTCCTGCTGACCCTAAGACCTAGGACAGGGCCATGGCAAGAGATACAGGGAGGGTCCAGTGGCCAGAACTCACCAGTGAGTCCTTGACTGGTTCCACGTGAATCTGCTTGCCGAAGGTCAGGTTTCTCCCCGCCCCTGGCCTTGTCCTGCTGGGTTCCCTCCTGCCTGAGGGCCGCCACCCCAGAGCCCTTAGAGATCAGGCAGTTGTGAGCTGTTGTGTTCTTCTCTGGGCTCCACCCGTGAGGATCAGTGTCCCTGATAAACAGCGCCCAGCCCCAACAGACACGCTGACATCAGCGGCTGAGCACGGCGCATTAAATTACATGTGTCCGTTTGGAGGCTGCAAGGTGGACCCACCCTCATCCCGCCAGCCCGAGGCTGGCGTGGCCATGTGGGCTCTGTGGCATGCGGGGCGGAAGCTGGGGGGTGCCTCTGTCCCCCCCTTCCCCGCTGGGTCTCTCTTCTCTCCATCAGTCCCAGATGGTGTCCAGACTGTCCTTCCGTCTTCTAGTTCAGGGACTCCCAGTGGGAAAGGGTCCCTGTTGGGGTCCTGGCAATGGGGAACCTCTCGGCTGGGAGTTGGGGTGCAGGTGTGGGGGGGCACAGGTGAGACATGTGTCCTTGCTTCACCCGAGTGCTTCCTCAAACCAGGTGCCGGGGTGCACGTCCCCCCCCCCCCCCCGCAGATTCTGGACAAGCCTGGAAAAGGTTTGCACCCCTGCCCCTGGAGCTGGACTCCAGGAAGGTGGGAGCCTTGGCCGGGACCTTGGGGGGTGGAAGTGCCATTCATATCCCTGCCCATCCCCCCCCCCAACCATTCCTGACTCCTGGCTGGCCCAGGTGGTTCTGACAGTGTCCTGGGGAGCAGTGGTGGATGGCG